AATTCCTCTTGGTTATTATCCTTGATCATGCCCTACCAGGCCTCCCACACCCTCCTCATCACCAATCTGGATCACTTGTTGTTCCCTTGTTCCTAGGTTTGTTAACACCACTACCTTTCCCCCCACCAAGAAAAGACTTTTCAAAAAGATGTTTCTCTCTAAATAAATGTAATCATGACCGTGGCCTTGAAATTTTAGTCCCCTTTCCCCTGATTTAGCGTAGGGGTGGGATGCAGGCCTAATGCCAGTGATATTTCGGGCAAAATAGGATGTCTGTTTTACCTCTGGTTAGATAGTGTATTCATCAACCCATCTGTCCAAACCATGCATCTCCTTTGACACAATTACTGGCATTTTGCTAAATGAAAGGAGGCAGGAGACTGAGAAATGACTTGATTTCATGATCTAAGAGAATGTATGGCCTGGATTCAAGTTACCAGTTGGGCCACATTTTTGCCTATGCCATTTTTGCCAATAATCATTAAAATGATTATTAAGCTACTCTATCAAAATAAAAACCACACCATCCAAAGTACAATGTAGCTCTCAGTGGTCAACCCAACGTCACCGGGTTGGTTCCCAGTCATGGCAGCTCTGCAGTACAGAGGAGAACTTCCCCAGAGAATTTCCAAGGCTGCGAATCTTCTCGAAAGCAGGCTGCCTCCTCTTCTACCTGCAGAGTAGCAGGTTTGAACTGTCACCTGTCGGGTTGCCAGCTGGAGGTGTAACCACTGTGCCAACAGAGCTCCTCACGTCAGGTCAAACTGGAGTGAAAACAACATCTCTGCCGCAGACACTGAAAGGATCACAATGAGACACAGGGCCCCACTATGAAGCACCTATTTTCCATGTTGGGCACACAGTTGCTAGGCGCCACTGAGTGGCACAGATGGTTTTTCTTGGCTACCACCTCAAAAGTTGAGGCTTTGAATCTACTCAGTGGCACAACTGGAAAGATCTGGAGAGAATTCAGCCAAACAAATCCTACGGAGCAGTTCTACTCTGTGATGCATTAGGTCACCAGCAGTCAGAATCAACTCAATAACCAAACTGGTGTGATTTTGTGATTTACTAACCGGAAGGTTGGTAGTTCAAACTCATCCAGCAAATCCACTAGAAAAGGCCGGGTAAAGTGCTTTCCTAAAGCTTATAGCTAAGAAAACCCCATGGAGTGGTTCTACTCTATCACACGCCCACGGGTAACCACGAGTCAGAGGGCACTCTATGGCAATGGGTCTTCTCTGTTATTTCTGTTGCAAGGGTGTCTGCAGACCAACAGCTGTTCGGCAGGGAAGATATTCTAGAATTCTCTCCCTTCACATACTTACTGTGTCTCAGCCCCTAGCAGCATCTCCACCTTCTCGTTGGCATGGTTGCTCAGGACTGTCAGGGTGAAGAGGTGGCTGGCAGAGCTCTGTCGTGAATACAGCATGGTGGAACTGTTCTTCCCGGGAGAGGAATTAAGGTCCTCATTGTCACAAGACTCCACCAATAGCTGATCCCTTAACGAATAATCATTGACGTTGAAGCTTTCTTCACTGTAAGGGACAGGAGGGAAAGGCCAGTCACTCAGTGGATAAGACCACCATGCGGTCAGTTTCTATGCCACATTGTGAACACAAATGGGAAAGGGCAGGGAGCACGAAGGAGAGGATCAATGGTTTGGAAGCAATTTAAATGGCAATCTGCATTATAACCACAGATTACGAATCAATGTAAAATTAAACCTCACCACATGCACTGCCGTTAAATTGATTCCACTCTATAGTGAGCATCCAAACAGGGCAGAACTGCCCCATCGGATTTCCCTAAGCAGATGGACACATCTTTGTCCAAGGAGGAACTTGACACTGAGCAGCTGAGTGCTTCACTGTGGTGCCATCAGGGTTCCTTAAATTAAATAAAATCTCCCCCCAATGAAATATCAGTAATTATCATTACTGTTCCTGTGTAATATACCAAATTGTAACTTGACTATGAAAGGGCACTTTTTCGTGGGGTTTGTTTTGTTAATCATCAAATTCTCTAGGTCTCATTGTAAGTCTTCTTAGATGTGGGCCATGCCTGCATCCTGGTGATGCTCACATAGCCGTCTACAACCTGCATTCACAGGATGAAGCAGAAGCCCCCACTTGGATGTGTTCTGGGAACGATGCCTCAGTATCAGACTTCATGCCACTATGTGCCGCAGAGCAGAAGCCTCGAGGTCTGTTTGCTTCTGGTAAGGCATGCACCCCACCCTTCTTCAGAAACTAAAAAGACCAGCCCCATCAGCCCCTTTCTCTCATGTTACCTCCCACCCGGAAAAGAGAGAAAACACACACACACACACACACACACACACACACACACACACACATTCTCTCTCTCCCTCACAAACACCCTTGTCCCATCGAGTCTTACAGTGAACTCAAATGTGTTAGAATCGAACTGAGAATCCATGGATTCTCAATGGAATTTTTAGAAGTAGGGCCTTTCATCCAAGGCCCTTCTGGGAGGGCATGGACTCTAATCTTTTGACTAGAAGTTGAGCACATTAACTGTTTGCATCTCCTAGAGCAGTGGTTCTCAAACCTTCCTAATGCTGCGACACTTTCATACAGTTCCTCATGTTGTGGTGACCCCCCAACCATAAAATTATTTTCATTGCTACTTCTTCTTCTTAACTGTATGTAATTTTGTTACTGTTATGAACTGGGTGACCCCTGTGAAAAGGTCGTTCGACCCCAAAGGGGTCGCAGCGACCCACAGGTTGAGAACCACTGGCCTAAGAGACTGCTTATTGCCCCACCCCACCCCAGGAACTTTCCCTCCCCTAAGCGCTCATCTCTACGGCACTGTATTCATCAATGCCCTCCAGCGACCTCATTCAGTCCCTCAGCCCATCCCACTGTGCTCTCTGGGAACATAAGACCAGCTCTGCAGTAAAACCCCTACATCTTCAGCCTCCACTCTGAACACTGCTGTTCTTCTCTGGCCTTGATGGCAGTGTGGCTCTCCCCAGCGCTCACTGCTTCTTTCAAAGTCACTCTATCTGTTGAGAGATGGGGAGGGTCCTCTGTGATTTTCAATGGTGATTCCAAACCATTAATGTGCAATTCCCCAGTCTTGAAGCTCATTCCAAGAGCCTCTATTTCATAATCATTGTCATCTACAGACCCTCCTACAGCTCACTCCCCATCCTCCTTCAAGAATTTCACTTCGGGCTTGCCGTCTCTCTTTAATATTCCTCTTTCTTAAATCTTCATGTTTCACTGTCACATCGCAGATACTTCCATTACCCTGAACTACCAGGTCCTTGATTCCTCTTCTCCAACCATCTTTTCCTCTGCTTGACTTTAGTCACCCCTGGGCATACCCTAGACGGTCCTGTCATTGCCATCAACTACAGCACACTCACAATTCCAGTGTGAAACACAGCACCTTCTAACCACTTCATGTCTTTCCAATCCAACGCCGCCTTTAAGGCTCAACTATAACAACGTTTCAACCATCATTTCCTTTAACACATTGACTCTGTGCTCCTTCATGTCCTTGCAGTCATCCACATTAAGGATCCAGCTTGGAGTTCTTGGGATCTAGTTTTAATCACCAAATGCATAAATCCTCAACTCCTTTGTCATACCTGTCTGGACCTGTCTGGAAACTGTCCCCTTTCAAACACATGGGAGAGCACTCAATAAGCAATGAATAAATAGGTGAGGATATTCTAGGGACAGCATCCAATATTTACTTTATCAATAATAAAATATAAATGTATGAACCTTCTTGCTTCCAATTAAATGCGCTAGAGATTTTGGAAAATAAGCCACTTTGTCCTCAATTTTTTAGGATGTTTTCTCATTTGGTGTTGATTTCTGCTTGTCAATCACTCCCTTCTAACTTTGCTTGAAAAACTTCCCAATTCTTTCTAAAATTCCGTTTCATGAATTCTTGCCTCAAAGACAACAAACCACAATTATCATCTATAAGAGCAAAATACTGCTGTATTAGTCTGGGTATTTTAGAGAAACAAATTCACAGAAACTCATGTATAAGACAGAGTTTTATATAAAGGTTAAGTGCACATCAAGAAAACATTCCAACCCAGTGCTGCCCAAGCCCACAAATCCAACATTAACCCATACATCTGACAGCAATCCACAAAGTCCTCCTCTATCTCACAAAACACACGCAATGAGGCCGACTGCAGAAGGAAAGCCAAGTCAGTGAATGTGTAAGCATCTTAGCTCTGGCAGGGTCTCCACACGGCTGCTCCAGCACCCAGGGCTGCATAGGGCATATGGCTTTTCCTCAGGGATGTCTTGCAGGAAGTGACCCTTGCCAGCTAAAGCAGGGAACTGGCTAAGGCAGCTGCAC